GAATTAGATGAACATTTATTTGCACTAATTGTGTATACAAATCGCCTCAAACACATTTTTGCAGGGTTGAAGGCCTATCTGGTCAAATAATCAAACACATTTTGTTACAAAGGTACCGCTTTATTAATTTGACATTTATATTAAACAGGATTGATTCCTCATTTGGTTGAGCATCGAAACGGCAGTCCGAAGATCGCCATTTCAAACCCCGCTCCAGAGGGTTTTTCTGGATTTAATTTTAAACTTAGCTTGAAAATAGTTGAACATTTGCTTGCACTTGTCAGAAATACTCCTTAAAGAAATTAAAAGAATGAGATCAGGTTTTGTAGCGCAACGCCCACATCCGTATGCATCGACACACACACTCTCACAACACTGGTTAAATTTGGTTGGTAAAAACGTTGTGTACATTTTACCAAACGTTTGGTAAAATTGGCTCATTGTTTAACCAACCTTTTATTTTTAACCAACTGTTGGGCTGTTGACTTGGTAAGCAACGGTTAGTAAAAATAGTTGAACTAACCCAACGTTTGTGAAACTTGGTTAGGTTTAATCAAGGTTGTGTAATATGTGTAATATTAACCAACCGTTGGTTTTCAAGGTGAACAGCGCAACAGTTTTTAACCAACTTAAAAAGTTGGTTAAAAAATGAACACATTTTTCCCAACGTTGGGTAACATGTACCCAGCATTGGTCAAATTGGTAACATTCACACAATTTTGGTTGAAATTTTAACCAACTTTTTTAACCAACCAATTGTAAACCAATGTTTTAAGAGTGCACCTCCGGATCGCTCAGTAAAAACACGAAAAGAGCTAAAATAGCTGATTTCATGTGGTGTGTCTCGACTAATCAACATACCTGATGCTATAACCCAAATAATTAGAAAATCTTCTGCTACTGATTCAACATGTAACCTGACTCACTTTTCAAATAGATGTGTGCTTTCAGCCACTGGGTGTACAAGATGGGAGTGTGCCCGACTCCAGTTTTTCAGCTTCAAGTTGGCGAAGCGACCTCAATAACAGTGACTGTCTCCCCGCTAACGGCCGGCTGAATTTTGGTCACGGCAATGACGGCACAACCTTAGGCGGGTGGTGCCCTGCAACCAACAACACAGATGACGAACCTTGGCTGGCCGTGGACCTTGGACTGGCATTGCGGGTAGAGGGCGTCCTCATCCAAGGCGGTAACCATAGCGATCCGGCCATGATGGAATGGGTGACCAAATTCCGAGTGGATTACAAGGTCAACAGTACTGACGATTGGATGACAATTATGACCAGAAAGGAGAGAACAATGGTAAGTCGGGTGGAACTTTCATCACAAACTATGGATAATCCGATATTTTTTTTCGTGGTATAACAGAAACTCTTCAATTAGTGGTCTTCAAGCAATTCGGGCGATTTACAATGCAATTCGGGCGACAAAGAGTTTGCAACGGAGAGTCCATTTTTCAAGTTTACGGTCGACAAAACATGGCTCATTTGAATAAGGGAATAAATGTGTGCTTCGGAGGTTTTTATCACTCTGTTTAAGAGCACTTAGAGTCTGGGTGCTGATAATTACCCGAGCCGGAGGCGAGGGTAATTATCAGCACCCAGACTCTAAGTGGTCTTAAACAGAGTGATAAATACCGACGGAGCACATATTTATTCCCATTCATAAATACCTTTTCGGTAAGAAAAAATCATATAATTCGTTCAAAACATTCCGATTTTGTTCAACAAATTCACTTTATGCTTTTTGAAACATCCCTCTTGCACAATAATGGAGTGTTCAGCTGGCGAGTAAGATGTAAACAATCCTTTTATGGACATTGACGCGCGCGTATCATGTTCTGCGCGATGTCGCGCAGAACGCACCTGGCGCGTTGCGTTTAGAATTTAGAACTTTAAAATTCTGACTCCCTGGTAGTGTTGCGCATGCCTACGTGAGGATTGTGAACGTTCAACCAATGAAACGATAAGAGGCACTGGATTTTTAGGAGTTCACATTTTATAGTGACACTGGAAAAGTGTTTAAGACCAGCTAGCCATGTCTTTATCATCCGTTTAAGACCGGCCACGTGACGAGCTCTCGACCAATAGGAATGCGTAAACTGTCTTAGGTATTTATGAATGAGTGTTGGTAGACAACTTGAGCTAATACGTCATAGATTGGGGCATAGCATTCTGCCGCCTTACAAAAAACAGCATTTGATAACTAGAAAAGAAATGGGCAAACAGATCCTCGAATCATACGCTTACGAAACCCCTGACCGGAAAAACTAACAATTTCAAATGTCCCGCGCTGCGAATTTGTCGACCATCTCTCACAATACACTGGGAAAAAAAGAACTCTCCGTGGCAAACTCTTGGTGGCACACTACATCGTGAATCGCCCGAATTAAAGTAGCCTCCACGTTTTTTGTTGAGTTTCATAAACTGAAAAGTATTTATATTTCTAAATTTCTTTTTCATTCACTTTTGAATGAGACATTGAAAGAAAAAAATTGCACACAGTGAGTTATTGAAACAAATACTATACAAATTTTGAATTTACAAAAAGTGCCCCAACAATAACTCCGTGCACACAAGGTGGGCTGGCTCCCCGCCCACAACAAGGTGGGCTGGCACCCCGCCCACAACGAGTATCGATAATGTACTGACCGGGAGCCAGTCTGCTGGGATGGCGGACCTGAACTTTTCTCTGAGGGTTGGAGGTGCTATAAAAAGTAAATTTATATTGGTTTAAACGTAACATTGAGGTTGAATATTTATGAACAGAAAAAATCGAAACTGTTGCACATGAAACAACTTTAAGCAGCACGCGATACGGGGATTGGTAAAGGCAATTTTTTAACAGCTACTTCATAATGTTGGTATGCACTAACAAGTGTCGGCCATAGTGAGATAGGTTGAAAGTGGGAATTTATCAAAATATCATTGAAAGTAGTATGATAAGATATCAGTGAACAAAATATATTGTGTTGTTTACATAAGGGACGGATTTGATGCTTAGAGATTATCTTGCTGCTCAACCCGCTTTATGTGGATACAATCTTAAGTCATGAATTCTTCCTCTTACTTTACCCTTCTGAAGGAATATTTTGGGAACGAGGATGCAAACACACCAAATAGACATCTGTTTTACGTACCAACCGTGCTTCGTTTTATCCGGATTGTGGTCATAGAGTACGAAGGGTACCCTTCATTACGGTTTGAGGTCTTAGGCTGTAAAGGTGAGTTATTGCGCAGACACAATTGAATCCCAAGAAAATTTCTTGAGCTTAAAGGGTCGATGCGATAATTTTCTCTGAGGAAAACACTTTGTGCAACATTTTACTCCTCTTAGAGGATAAATACGAAAACTATTGATCATCCCGTCTGAGTGAATTATATGGAAATGTGCACTTCTTAAAACTTTAAAAATGGTCCATACTTTTCCTGGACAACCCGGCGCTGTTGCTGTGAAGTCATTTCAGAAGGACACTGTTTGGGGGTATCATGTTCAAATTGTGAACTCAAAATTTTCTAATCGAAAAATTTCGTTCAAAAATATGGAAATTTTGTAGTTTAGTAACAAAAATGTCACCAAAACACACTTGAAACCCTTGAAAATGGCAAGATAAAATTTGCAACTAAGGTTTCATTAGACACAAAAGTGATTTTTCAAGGATGGCATGAACAAAAATACATTGCATGCAAGAGGTGTCATTGCAATGCATTTATTCACCAAGCATTTAATCAAGAGAAACAAGTGATAGTGTTAAGACTGTCCAGTCTTAACTAGACCTTCTTCTAGACCTCCTTCTAGACAGTGATCCGAGAAAAAACATGTAGGTGACAAATAGGCGCACAGGGATAGGTAAAAATCAAAGGGGAAAGGATAAGGTGTGGAGCATAACAGGGAACCGACGGGTGTGGGGTAGGTAGTGTCAAAGCGACGGGATTCAGACGGAAGGGATGACGCTGGGGGATGGATATAAAGGAGTGTTGTAGCTCATTAAGTGTTAGCTGAATAGGAGATAAGAGGAGATGATAATTAGGATGAGGGAAGAAACAGATGGATTAGGCAAAGGATTAAGTGACAAACCACAGGAGGTTTAGCCACTAGGATTCTCTGTAACGAAAGACTATGAGGTTGACAATTAACAGGTTAGTCACTCCCTTTTTAATTTTGTTTTCAAGTGGTTGAATAGTCAGATGACATTTCATCCACACTTTCTCCCTGCTGAGGTGAACTGATTTCTTGCAATGGCCAAATGATTGTATGCAGGTTGAAATGGTAGGCAGCATGGCAGTCTGGTCTCTTAATGTTGACATTCGAAGACCATAGAAACGCTTGAATGTGTTTTTGGTCTCAAAAGAATGACACAGAAACAAACACTTTGAATTCACAAACACTCATCCTCTTTGTTAATTGCGAAGCAATACCAAAATGAAAACATTTTTAATGAAGGTCTTCTTCGAAAGTCAAGCATTTATTAATCGTGTATTTGCTCCTTCTTTTTTTGACGAAGCTCCATCCAACATAACATGTCCAAGTCCCGACTCGTTCACGCTTGCACAAGGAATGGGCGAAGTTGAAGTGGTGTTTCCTGCTGTCACCAGTTCCGATCCATACTTCAATCGTTTCACTGTCACAATCAGTGACGTCGACCCACTGGTGTCCAGCGGGGGTGTCATGTGGCGAGTAGGTGAAAACTCCACATTCCCTCCGCCAATGAACAGCAATGAGCAAACAGTTCATTACATAGCTACCGATGATGCCGGGAACCAAGCAACATGCGCATGGACGTTTGAAGTTACCGGTAAGCCGAAGACACTGAAGACATGGCACCCTTTTCAATTTCGTGGCACTGCGAAGAAAATTACTTATAAATGCATTGTGTAATCGCCAATATATGTAGTGACATGACTAGCTCTGATTCATGACTTCATTTTTGACAGCCCACTCAGCGAATGAAGCGCATCTTTCTCTTTCCAGTGAATTAACCATTTCATTTTTTTCTCTAGATAATGAGTCTCCAGTATTTGATAACTGTGAGAATGTTACCTTATATACCGACCCTGATAAGAATTATACCTCTGCAATCCCAAGTGCACCAACGGCAAGTGATAATATAGCAGCGACTGTAGAATGCTCAGCAATCCCCAATCAGCTGGAAATTGGTGTTCACCAAGTGTCTTGCATCGCCAACGATTCTGCGTCCAACACCGCCATGTGCGAGTTTGAAATATATGTAGTAGGTAAGTGTGCACAAAGCTTAAAAATGCGTTATATCTTAAATTATGGAATCGTTTTCCACATATTCACTTACCCATAGAAACCCAATTTTGGACAGGTTAAATTCGGCTCGGTTCTTTGAAGAGTGAACAAAATTTACTTCAGTAGGCGGAAACTTCGAAGCTAGGTATACATTTTGGTACTTTTACATAAATAATTCATTGAAATGAAGCAAAGAAACTCACAGATTTTTGTTGAATATAATAAACTGGCTGGCTTTATCTTGTTTTACTTTCTATCCTAGATATTAAAAACCCTGTCATCTCGTGCCCACGTAGTAGATCATTCCCAACCGACCCAGGCCAACCAAACGCCACTGTGGTCTTTCCTTATGACTACGTCGCTTCAGACAACTCGGGCGAGTTCCAAGTTATCGTCACGGAATTGAGTCCTAACTCCAGTGAGCCTAATGGAATGACGTGGACCGTCGGGGACGCTGTGGTATTAGGCATTGGTAACCACACCTTCTTTTACCTGGTTACAGATGCGGCTGGGAATGAAGACTACTGTGCTTGGGATGTCGAGGTGTATGGTAAGATTCTTTCTAACTTTAGATTGCCAGAAAGCGGATGGATATCCAACCCTAGCTGAAAATCAATAAACTGACATCAGCTAATAAAACAGAGTTTAATTCGTAAATCCAAGTGAAACATATACTGATATACCAGATGCACAATTGTCTTCACTTATATTAATACTAATGTGCTTATCCACTTTATAAGTGAAAAACCTAAATAACGGACTTCAGCTGCACAAGACAAAGTTAGGAACCGAATCGCTATATCCAGGTGAAACAAGTGTTTCTGATATAACGGATGCACAACTGTATTCACAGTAAAATATATTTAAACTTTCTAACATTAGATTGCTGGAAGATGGCTGAATATTCAGCCATTTATATGACAAGCGTGGACCGACATCAGCTAAATTAAACAGAGTTAGGAACTGTATTCATATATCCAGGTGAAACAGGTGTTTCTGATATCTCATATGTATGATTGCCTGCACAATATGAGTTTTTTTTCAAACAGTGTTCTAACCGACCTAATAAGGTTCAGTTCCAATTTCTTGTATTGTAAATATCTTAGATTACCACCCACACTCTAAAAACAGATTGGTTGAAATAACCAATATATTGGTCAAATTCAACCAATGTGGTTGGTAGATATGTGTCCAACCAATCTATTGGTTAAAATAACCAATCTGAAATGGTTTGCTTTTTTAACCAATCCATATTGATCAGAAAACTAACCAACATATCTTGGTTGTTTATTTAATCAATCAAGATTGGTTATTTTTTTAACCAATCTATCACCAATCTTGATTGGTTAATTTTCCAACCAACCGACATTGGTTGGAATACTAACCATCACATATTGGTCAAAACAACCAATATCATTGGGTAAAGATAACCAGTTATATTGGTTGGAATGACCAATCTTATTAGTTAAGTTTGACCAATTACATTGGTTGGAAATGACCCATATTATTGGTTAAGTTTGACCAATTACATTGGTTGAAATGACCAACATTATTGTTTAAGTTTGACCAATTACATTGTTTGGAATGACCAATATTATTGGTTAAGTTTGACCAATTACATTGTTTGGAATGACCAATATTATTGATTAAGTTTGACCAATTACATTGGTTGGAAATGACCCATATTATTGGTTAAGTTTGACCAATTACATTGGTTGAAATGACCAACATTATTGTTTAGGTTTGACCAATTACATTGGTTTGAATGACCAATATTTAAGGGTTAAGTTTGACCAATTACATTGGTCGTCGGAGTGACCAATCTTATTGGTTAAAGTTGCCAAGTGGTTTAATTTGTTTACAGAACAAAAAGATTTAATAGACCAACATGATTGCTGTGATTCATCCTGTGCTTGTAGGTTTTATTTCAAAGAATATCAGTACATGCATGTACGCACATTTACAATCGACACAACATTTGCCAACATAAACAACAAAATGATCAAATTACCACGGAATATCTCAATGGATTGTTAGGGAATGACAGTCTAAAGCATTCTGTAAAATCATGGCTCCCAGTATGCTGACATCTTCAAGAAAAATAGTATTTTTCCAATGCTGATCGGCCGACAAGCGTTGGAAAAAAACTAGCTTTTTCAAAAACTGCTCCCATGCACTTTTTCATATTTATAGTTATTCCGCACTTTCGTTGCAATTGATTACACAGTCACACATATGAAGGGGTTAAAGCCTTCTTGACTGATTCTCTTTACCTTAGAATTTTCAAAAGTCTATTAATTGCTCTATTTTATTCTTAAGGGGGTCAGGAAACAAAAACATGATTGGTTTCCGTGGTTTTCCCAGCATCTACAAGCCCAAAAGGTGAAACAATTGCAGCAAAGGCGAATGTTGTAAATTCCTTTTAAGTTATTGTTATATCATATCTTTTTGTTATCCACTCATTGTGAAAAATGACCTTCCAAAATTTTCAGAAATCCTTAAATATGTTTAATACCACAAATGGTCATCTTGAAACAGCTTTGTCACTGCCACCCCATTAAAGAAAAAGTACACGGTATGTCTTAAAGGAAACATGCAGAGAAAAATCAGCTCATCTTGTTACTTGTTTTCATTGGAAGTGACAAGAAAGTGGTAGCTGTTTTATTATTAGGAAATCCTTACATTTAAGAAAGCGTTCTTTTACTTTTGTCACACAGGGTACTCCTTTTCAAAAGTGCATCGAACAACACAAAAATTAGTCCTTCAAAATTACCCACAAAAAGGTTTTGAAAATATTGGCCATTACTTTTGTACAAACAAGCTGTTTAATGATAAAACAAGTAAAAGGTGGAATTTACTCCAAGAAAATGAAGGAAAAGTTTGAAAAAAAATATGTGTTGAAATATTGAAATTTCTCACTTTTACTGCTACGAAGGAGGTGGAAAGTTATAGTTTTTGATATACGTGTATTAAAGTCAGAAAAATTATGTTGCATGTTTCCTTTAAGGGTTACTAGAGGCGGCATCCCTTGTGATGGCAGTTGAGATTTGTCCCAAAAGCTCCCTGACCCGTGGAGTCACGACATCATAGGGAGTTTGGATATCAAAAATGCCTCTCTGAACGAAAGTCCATATATCGGTAGCCTCTGAGGGGTACTGCGCGTTGAACACAAAGAATACCTTGAAACAAATATCCACTGCCTTCACAAGGGATTCCACCTCATAGAAAACATCATTGTAAAGCACAAAAAACTCCTTGGCATCAAGTATTGTGTTGCCAAGAATCAGGACCTGTGGCTGCCTGGTAACTCCCCTCTTTCGGCACTCCTCATCCCTCTTCTGGATGTAGCCAGCAAGGTCTGTTCCACACTGAAAAGCAAGGTTCATTAAATTATCACATTGGAAACTTTAAACTGTTGAAATAGGTGGAAGTTTTCAGTCAGCAAGCTTCACATACATGTACATGCATACATGTACATTGTAGAAGCATTGGACTAGCAGTTAAAGTACCGCAAGTTTTCAATTCCATGCAGCTTGATGTTTGTTAAGGGTTACCCTGTCCATGCTACATGGTGGTATTTAACATGTCGCATACATTCTATCCGAAGCCAAATAAAACAATTTTGTCTTCAATGGTACCATACCTTCTTCAGATCAATGAAGGCTCTCCGTCCCTCAGCTATGCTTGGCTTCCACTTTTTCCCCTTCCCAGTAGCCACTGTTCTTGGTGTTAGCAGCATCGGCAGCATGACAAGCACCGTTGCAGCTATGTCCTCTGCAAAGAATTAGCAACCATGGAATAATAAAGAGGAGTGCATAGATAAATGCTTTAATAACATCGCTACATAGATGGCGGATACCACAAAAAATGACAAACTTTCTTCAAGCGATATCTAGCAAAATACATACTGCTGTAGTCCCTCTTGACATGCCCATCTGACAAGGGGATGTTCCAGTCTTATATACACATAACCTGGGCTACTTGATCAGCCTTTTTTTAGTAATAGCCACTCTAAACGGGCTATCCCATGAGCCAACTCATGACTGGTGCTAGGGCGGTCACATACAGTAGGTGTACGGCAGGCGCGGTTCTAGAACCAATTTTTTTTTGGGGGGGGGGGGCTAGCACGGTGGATCCAGAATTTTTCCAGGGAGGCGTGCTGAAATGTTGACCGGTTATTTCATATTTCCTAAATCATTCACACTATATTAATTAATGCACCCTTGTCACGGCTATTTCTTCTTTAGGGGGAGACCGTTCGCATGTACATCACAATCCTTCTTTTTGCTAATGCAATTTTTTTTTTACGGAATTTATTTTGGGGAGACTAGACACAATTTTGGGGGGGCTACAGCCCCCCCCCTAGAACTGCGCCTGGTGTACGGTGGACTGCAACATTTCCTTAAAATATTGAACCACCCCCGTAATGTGTCAAACATTATGCCAAAAACAGCATTAGAATAAAGAGTGTGAAACTAACCTGGGGCTGGGGAGTAGTCGGCATCCTCTTCATCATCATCATCATCTTGGCCAGATATAAGCTTTGGATTATTCAGCTCTGCTACAAGGCGCACAGCTGTGTCATCACAGCAGTCTAGCTGTATTTGTTTTAATAGCTTTGGCGCCACCATCTCCCACCTTGCTGTAAAATTGCCAGCCTGCTCCTTGAAGAGAAGCTGGAAGTCCTCATCAATCTGAGATACACATGCATTATAAAATAAACAAAAACGCTGAAAATATATGCACTGAAGATTACAAAATATGTAGCTGTAAACAATTTGTTATGGGAGCATAATCTAATCAACCATAAAGTTTGTTAATGTACTCTTAATGGGAGACTTTTGAGACGATGGTGGCAGCAAACATACCCGGTCATTTTTCAATTGTTTACGTCATGTTTATAAAGCCAAAGCGCTCATGCTCAATATGAGGCGAGCAATGGCAAACTGAAATAACGTGAAATGACATTTTTTGACATTTTCAAAATGATTAAAATGGAACAATGAAACCTATGTAGTTTAAATTGCATCCATCAGTTGTTGCTGACCCGACTTTAGTATTTTGCAACTCCTACCATCTCTGTTATAATTTGTTTTACTTACCCATACATAAGAACCTGGATCTGCATATCTCGGGTAGGCTTGCAATATATCAGCGATTGATGGCTGATCTTCCCCATGGATCCAGTGGATTCTGGCCTGCCTTGTGTCAGCCATGTATGTCCGGACCATGTGTCTTGGCTCAGCGTTGTGTTTCAGCCAATTCCGTTTTTCTGAAAGAGTAGCTCCTGCATCCTCTGGTGCTGATAATTACATTGACAAAAAAACCCCAAATAATGATTGTGTTATGCACAGTTTAATCTACACACGGTACGAATGGCAATGTTGAGATACAAGTACAGGTTAGATGGGGATAGTGTACATGGAGCCAATCTCACCTGTGACAGCTATGCCGCGTCCGGAGGGTGAAGCTGCAGTTGGTCCCGTGCTTCTACATTTCGCAGCCCTCCCACCATTCTGCTTGCTCAACTTCCTTTGAATATTCCTGAGC